CTCTAAAACATTCATTTATTCCACATTAAAGGCACCCACTTGTCTCAAAAAAGGTCCATGATAAGTTCTCCTTCAGCCATTTCTCCTGAAATGACTTACTTCATCAAGTGCAACTTCAAGGCCAAATAAATCGGTAGGTGGGTTCATTCCCAAGCAGACCAGGGCTACCAGAGAAAACCTAGACTAATTCATGTTCTGTCACTTGGAAACATCTTCAGATAGTCAGAATTTTATACCAAAGTGAAGTATTGGTTATATACATAAATCACCTTTTCAACTCCCCGATGCAACAAAAGCCTTCCTTTTAAACATTTCTTTTCAAATGAAAGTATTGTGAATGAGCTTCAATTTTCCTTTTCAAAAAGGACTGGTCAAAAAGCTTTGAAACAACTTGTCAGAGCTGATTTTCCTTCCTGTTCATCCTCCAATCTGTGAATTCCCAGAGCAACAGCTTTTTTCTTAATCTTAATATATGTATCTCATGGTATTACAGCCCAATAAATTTTCATTTTCTCCCCTCTTTGATCTTGCCCCACCTCATCACCCCCACCACTTACTCACACCCCATGCCTGTCTAATACCCCAGCTAGATGGTTGATGACTAGTCACTGGGAGTGAGACCCAGACAGGGCTTCCTTAAGTTGGCCCCTATTAGCCAGCACAGTGAGTTTAAACAAGCATTTGATAACTTTATGTAATGAATGAAAGAATGAATGAACACATTATGAGCTTCAAGCTCTTCTGCCCCAATAATGAGGACCTGGGGTGAGGCACTACAAAGCCTCGTATGATCCAGGCCAACTCCAAATTAGCACAGGAAGGTCCTCAAAAATGAATAAAAGATGAATACCTGAGGAAAGTGAAGGGAGCAACAGGGAGAGGCAGTTAATTGGAAAAGTAGGGAATTAGAAAGATCAATTATTTGCTATAACACATAGAATGCACTTAGTATATGCCAGACATCCTAACTCATTTAATCCACTCAAGGTTTCTTCTGTTGCCATTTTCAGATGGGAAGGCTTAGACTTAGAGAAGTTAAAACTTGCCCAGAATTGCATGCCAGTAAACAGCAGACTCAAATTCTGAACTTGGAGAATCTGATTAGAAACTCCAAGATCCCAAATCTCACTTACCAAAGTGTATCCCACATCATAGACCACTTTCCCTGTTACCTGATAGGTGTGGAGTGAAAAAAATAAAAACATGTGGTCATGGGGAAAATACACAAAATGGTGGGTAAAATGGTCTAAAAAAGTCTTTACTAAAAGATTTCTCAAAGCTCTTCAATTGTTGAAGAGCCTTGTGAACCTCCAGAGTGTGAACAGAGTACACGCATGTGCCAAATGTAATCACCAGGGCCTGTTTTCTTGGAGAAACATCTTACTGGACCAGACCCCACTTTCCAAACCTTAACCTTTTATCTGCTCAATACCCACTCCAGGTTTGCTAGGGGTCAGCAAAGGAGAGGTGGCAAAAGGTCAAGTGGCACCCCCCAAACTCTGCAGTCACTCCTGAGCCCTGTAGCCTCAGCCAGATTCCTGCAGAGGCTGACCCCAGGGCCTCCACTCGTCCTGCCTATACCGGATGGGAAACCATCGGAATTTGCCCATCGGCTCCTCAAACTGTGCAGCCTGTGCAGCTCTCTACAGGGTGTCTGTCTTTGTGGACTTCACAAAGGAAATTTCTCACCTGTCAGACTCTTGGTATAATTGTTCCCTTCAATCTGCACTCCTCTCTGTCCCCTCTCTGAAGAGATCTGGCATAAAATCATTACACTCAAAAAGCATATCCTACTTTACCCAAATCTCAGGAAGAATTCTTTTAAGAAAAGCCTGAGGTTGATGGCTATTATTCTCCACTGACAGAAGCATTAATGATGTGCTTAAAGATAACACGTTAAAGACATTTTCTTCTTGTGGAAGACCACCAGGAGAGGCGCTTTTCTTCTAACTGCCTTGGAGTCAATTACATGACAAGTGCTCACTCTATGAAGTCCTGTTGTTCAAAGTTCAGTAAATATCCTTAAGCAGAGAAAGCAATTACAGGTAACTGTTTCTGAATACACGGAGTGTCCGAACTATTCACACCAAAGCCTATGACAATCAGGGGCTTCAGAGGCGTTTCCGAAGTCAGCCACGTTGCTGAATGGTAAGTCTGCCACCTCCGATGGCCAAAGGCAGTGAACAATGCACAGAGAAGTCACCTAAGAGTCCTGCAGGAGGGACATCATTTAGCAGGTCTGGCGGAGGCTCCTAGTCATCAAGTCACTCCTCTGCTCAGAAACTTTCCACGGCTTCCCATTGCCAAGACAAAGTTCAAACTGCGTAGTTGGGTATTGAACGTCCTTCACAACCTGCCTCCTAGCCACCTTGCTAGCTCCTGCTCTACCAGAACTGACCATGTACAGCCGTCAGTCCTCTCTTCTCCCTTGTATTTCAGGCCCGCTACTCACCCCTCCCATCATGAAGGCCCTCCTATGTCCACTCTAGCTGACACCGGTCACCTGAAATTCTGAAATGCTTTTCAACCAGTTCCAATTCTACAAACCAGAAGCGATCCCAACCATAAAAACGGTAACCATGTTTGACTCTTTTCAGCTTTGGAGGGGTGAGGGCTTCTCCCAGTGCTGACAATTTCCCCTGGAGCTCAGCAATTCTCCTATTTTCTGGAAGATGAAATGCTCTACATCTTCCAAGCCTGTGGTTTCTATTTCACCAAGTGGTGTCAGTGCTGATATAGTAACCTCCCATTTTTATTGAGCAGCACACAGTGTAATTGATGGCATCTGCTAGGGCTGATATTTTAAGTGAAGGCTATTCTCAGCTCTGCCTGCTCTCCCAGGACTCTGTACATAAATAGCCAACAGCAGCTATACCTGAGGTACAGGGTGGGGGGGCTTCTCAGCTAAGGTCCTCAATTATATGCTACAAAGTCTTGAGGTAGGATTCATCTAAGCAGATCTGATTTTCAAGTCTGCAAATCTAGAAAATGAGGGAGCTGGTGCATAGCTCGGCTGCTTATAGCTACCATCGCTCCCAAGAGAGAAAAACCTGGCCGTTTTGGTTATCAGGTTTCAACACCACATTCTTTTTTGGTGTTCCAAGTTTCTGTGTTCATACCCAGAAACAAGCATTTACAACCCTGAGTGACAAATGAGGCCCACCTTCACATATTCCCTTTCCCGATGTGTATTATTAAAACTGAAACTGTCTTCCCTCGATAAAATTTTTGCATTTGTTTGTAAAGCCTTGGGGAAGAGTTAACCTGGCAGCTTTTCAGGCAACATCTGATCCTTATAAGGCAAGGACCCATTTCTGGATCCAGACTGAAAAGAAACCATTCACTGCCACTGTCCTTTAGTTTCCTCCCTAAGCACAAGCCAAGGGGGGAGGTTTCTAGAAGGGCTCACTTCTCAGGCACACAGAGAATGGCTTGCTCTTCAACATCAGTGTGCTTCCTAAGTGAAGGCATATCCTTTCAAAAGAAAGTTTTAGAAATTTTTGATGGGCAATTTCCCAATTATAAATGCCTTCAGAAGCTTTACTGTGAAGATTTGATTTTTGTTAAGAGTTATGAAAGAGTGAAGCCCTAAGGCACATCTAGCCCAGACACAGCTTTCAAAGGACAGCCTTCTCTGGCCCCTGCACACTTGTGCACAGGTGCACTACACCCCCCCCCACTGTACCCACAATGCTCCCCCACACACTGGTATCCGGCCAGCAGCGCATTCCCCTGTGGAAGCTGACATTTGATCTCCCCTCTCCCCATTCTCTGTTTCTCCAAGAAGGATGCCACAGACTTTTCACTTTACCCCAGTACCTGGCTTGTTGCTTGTGCACACAATAGAGGCTCAAGAAATGTTTAGGCATGAAAGAATGCAAGTGTGCATGGATAAATAAAATCCTTCACTACCTGATGGCTTAAGTTCATGCTTATGTGGGCATTTTTAATGGCAGTTTTGATTAGAAGAAAACCAGAGTCCAGAAAGAGGGATCCATTGAAGTGACAAAGAAGAGGGCAGAAAGGGACACCCACCATGCCTCATGCCAATGTATCACTTCATCTCTTTGCATGAAGTTGATCATCACAATCCTATCCAATGCTCTGGGGCTCCAGAACTGAAGCTGCTTCTCAGTAGCATCAAGCTCCAAGAATTATTAGGTATATTTTCCCTCTGAGTCTCAGCATTAATTGCACATATGTACTTGAAGCACAATCTGCATCATTTTCAGCAACAGGCTTTGTACCAACAGCAGCCATACATGCAACAATAGGAACAGGGGGTGATACATGGCAGGTCCTCACTGTGTCTTAAATAACTCGCATGAGGATGCTGGTGGTGATTTATGCTGCCCGTCAGGACACAGGCGTTCTGTTTGTTGGTGTGAGTGGAACGAGTTCTCTGAGGACCAGGCTTAAACACAAGTGGTGAGTGAGCCCTCTCTGCTAAAGCAACGGTTTAGACACTGAGGAACTGAATTAACAAAGGAATTATCAGTGCCCTTGAAAACCTCCGGGATTAACCTTTTCCGAGAGTGTTTCATTTTTAAGGCTCATGCGAATTGGGCTTCATCTCCAGGCACAGCCTCTTCCATGAATGAAGTCACTGGATTCAGCTGTACAAATCGTCCCCAGGTGAGTCTGATAACCATTTTCTATCTGGTGCTTTTTTGTTGTTGCTGTTCTTTCAACCAAAACAAAGAATCATTGTATCACTGCCTGCCACGTACCTAGTTGCTGCACTACAAGTAAAAGCTCAATAAAAGCCTGAGAAAGCCAAAAATAATAATAAAATAAAAAAAACAAAACCTGTCAGTTCCATACATAGTCTTAGACATATAGTTAATTTGAGCAAATAAATTCTATCATCCCATTCAATCTGCTCCCCAAAATCTATAAAATAATACAGCTAGCTGGTGTTTGTGGGAACCCAGCATGCGAAGGACAAATGAGACAGCATTCCCCATGGAACAAACAGCAAGAAATATCGCATCCTTTACCTTGGTCAAAGGGTTTGTTGGGATTCCAGTTCCTGAAATAATCATCCTATAAAAGGAAAAAAAAAAAACAAGAAAACACAAATCAGATTTCAGGAAGCTTTCCAGATAACTGCATAAAACCTGCCATTTTCCCCACTCCCCCCAAACACAAAGGAAAACAGTAACAGCTTAGAAATCTTCTCCCCCAAACAGTCATTAACAAGCCATCATAGATATCAATTGTCTTTTCAAATGCTTGTCATTTAAACAGTGTGGATTAAACACTGGGAATGGTAAAAACATTTCAATCTCATATGGAAACAGACTGCTCTTCTCTGTTTGACATATAAACCCAGACACCCCTAAGTGCAAGGTGTATTTGCTATCAATTATGCCGCAGGTAATGCCTGGCTGCTCTCACGTATGATTAAGCCTCGGTGTTTGTAACAGCTGATAATTCAACTGTCAACATTTCTTTTACATGGAGATGTGTAACTTTCAGTGCACACTTCCAATTTTCCAACACTAACCAAAACTAAAAACAGGAGGCCATTTAACTGCTAGAATTAACCACAGGCACACCTTATACTTAATACCGTATGTGCTGGGTGTGTAAAGATAAAAACAGGGCCTCCCCTGGTGGCGCAGGCGGTTGAGCACAGCGCTGTGAAGCTATCCGCAGCCTCTGCAGTGTGGGTTCGATCCCGGCCAGCCAGCAAGAATCCCACATGGCGAAGCAGACCTCCCCTGTCTCGCCCACTGCTCCCCTCAGCAGTTTCGTCAGTCTGCCTGTTCTGTTCTCTGCTCTGTCTCTGGTGAATCCTCTCACCCTCCCGTGCATCTGGCCTGTTCCCCGGTTCTTGTATAAAATAAATAAATCTTTTTTAAAAAAGGTAAAAAACAAAGGTCTGCCAATCTGGTCAATTCATACCCATGTCTTTCTCCCCCACAGCTTGTACGCAATTCTGTGCTGCAGCTAGACACTTGTGACTCTGAAGCTTCCAGGGTCCCTCACATATCCAAAGTCACAGTAGCCTCTCCCTCACTTCTAATAACCCTTTCCTCCCCAACAATTTCTGCCTCTTCTTCCTCCAACTAGGTGCTCAGGCACCCCACTGCCCCCTGCCTCCCCCACTCTGGCAGCTAAATGGAAGTTTGCAAGGTGAAGAGGCTTCCCCCATGTACATCAGCCACCACCACCCCCTACAAGGGTAGGGTCTGTGGCCCCTTTCAGTTAATTTCCTCCTAAAGAGACCCAAATTATTTTCTGAATGTGTTTTTGGCAGGTACTCTGCATGCTGAGACGGTTGCAGAAAGCTGTCCAAAATAAGGCCTCAATCTCTTTTCCAGAGAAGCTAATTTACATCAAAGTGCACAATTAGTTGAAATTATTGTCCACACCGTCTCCTGCTGCCCTTTATCTCCCACAACATCTCCTGCGAATTTTATTGGTCTCTGTGTTGTTCAATTACCTGGCTTTATTAGATCCTTGTTGAGTTCACCTAAGCCCTTAAATAGATTTTAGGAAACTGGATTTAGAGTAAAATCAGAACATATTGCTTCTTGGGCACTGATTCCATTTTCCAGAGCATGAATAAACATGAACGGGTTCCTCTGGATCCCGGGGAGTCGGCATGTACTTATTTTTAACTCTGTGGAAGTGGCCCACTTTGTCCCGGCTTTAATTGGGAGGGGTAACTGGCCTTCTCCCCCATCTGGTTAGGAAGACTCTGAGGTCTCCACTATAAAATATCACTGAAAAAATTGAAAACCATCCCTCTGCCACATCTCGCTCCATTTCTTATTGTAAATACAATCCTGATCTTTTGAACTACGTGGTTTGAAAGTTAGCTCCAGTGTTATTTGATTCTATGTTAAGGATTGGAAGGTTTGTGGGGAACTCGGCACCTGATTTTTTAGTTTGATGCCCTGTGTGCTCTTAGAGCTAGACCCAACCAAGCGGCCAACATACTCTACTGTTCACAAGGGCAACAGAAGAGAGAAGCCAACATGAACTGATTCTCACCGCCGAGGGAAAATGAAACCAGACACCTATCCTGCAATGGTGGTCGATCAATGCCTCTCCACACACAGAGGATGGGCATTCTGTAGATTGGCGATGCTGGAATCTTGTCGGGTATTTTCTGCTTAAATATGCTTTTCTAATACATGGAAGGCCTTGGAAACTTAGCTTGTGTATCCAACAGGGAAGGACTGGAGCCAAAGATGAGTTCCTTTACTTTAATTTCACATGTCACATTCTCTTTGATAGCAAAGGAAGGCTTGAGCCAGTCTCGAGAACTGAATATTCCCTAATGATTTCAACATACTCAGTAAGCTGGCTGGAATTTGAAGCATTCTTCTGGACCTTGTCACTTTTCAGGTTAACTGTAATTGCCACTTTTACATATATTTTAAGGAAAATCCCAGTTTTAAATATAAAACTTCTAAAAGCAGATATCTACATTAGAATATGTGAAACCATCATAAACGTAATATATTGCTTAATTGCTGCCAAAATGGGACAGCACACCTTCAGTGAAAGCTCATTACACAAAACAAGTCCTTTAAAGGGCCCCTTGCCCAGCAGGGCCACGCAGGGAAGGAAGATGATTCTCTGCATGTGATGGCTTTCCCCTGCCTTAGGAACAGGGCATGCCAAAGCCAAAAGCCAATGAACCAGGAGACAATAAAATCATGGGTGTGTGTGTTTTGGCTACAGCTGAAAGAGAAACCTCATATTAAGTACAATGATGACATGGGAAGGACTCTAGGCATCAGGGCCCCCTTGGGGGGTGAGTGATGAGCACAAGGGAGGGGGGCTTCTTAGCAGGCACTGTGACTGAATTCCGACTATGAGGTGCTGGAGCACAGAGATCACATGTCCACACTGTACTGCCAGGTCCTGACTGGACTGCAATTGTGGCCAGTCCAAGCCAACTGGGCTGTACTGACCAGTTCACTCAGCCTCTGCTGGAATATCTAGTGAGGTAGCAGCCAACCCCATGCAGAAGATGCCAGCGATGAAAGAATGCCTGTTCCAGCACTTCACCGCTTGAGAACGTGCTCATCCCTGGGTCTTAGTTCACAACCAGGATGCTCAAAGGACATAAGCATAGCTGGCTCTCTCCTGGACCAGCACCCTATCATCACGAGGCTGGGGCCTAAGAACCAGAGCCCAGCCCAGCTTTCTGCAGGGCCTAAACCCTAAAGCCCCAGCCCATCTTTTCCTTTATCTTATTTTCTGCCTAATAAAATACATGTAGCACATATTTTACATTATCCTGAAACAGACCCATGACTTCCTGTGCTACAGACACTGCTATCAGCTTCTACCAGTTACAATACTATGCAGGTCATGTGTTGCACCCCAACACCCCAGAGTTACACCATTTCAGTGTGTTCCTGCTTCAGTGACTCCCGAGTCCTGTCCAGACCCCAGAGAAGAGCAGGACTTTAAGAACCCTCACCTCTGCTCCTCTTTCTGGTGCAATAGAACTGCAGCCTATTCAGAAACAGACTGTGGTGGGCGGCCTATGGATGTGTCCATCACACTTGCCTGGACAGTTATCTGTCTGCGTTGCACTCTTTACTGCTAATGGTAACAGCCAATGGTGAGGTTTTTAAAAATGACTCACAAGGATCTGAAACACAATTCATTTTTGAAATATACACCTAAACAGGAAGATGCACATCAAATACAGTAATTTATTAAACTAATTTACAGCGGTGCATCATGCAAGCTGAGGAAGGAGCTGGAAGACTGCGTGGGTACTTTCTGGCTGCAGGAACTGCATGCTGTAGTGATCTCAGACCTTTGCTGGGTGGACAACAGTCTCCCTCTAAACTACACCACCACCTAAATGAAAAATCAGTCAAATTTTAGGGCCTATGAAGATCTGAAAGAACCTTTACATATAAAAAGAATTTCAAACTTGAGTATATTGACTTCTCTCCAAAATATGAAACATAGGAGGGCAATGTGAAGTCATCGTTGGAGAGCATGACAAGTCAGCATACACAGTGCGGTAAGAAAATGACAGATCATGACATGCTTAGGATGCAGAGGAAGGAGGTGGTGCTGGTGGCAGAAGAAGAATCAAAAACTGGGAAAGAACATGGCCCCAATTATTGTTTTATCCTTCACTGCTGATAAATACAGATAAAACCATATCCCTCCATTTATCTCACTAATTAAATATCCCCCCAGTATAGGACTGGGTCCTTTGGAAGTGTTCACACCCAGGGCCGGTACAAAGGAATTTATGATTTTGGGTTTTTAACTACTTTGGAGATATTCTGGTTTGATAGACATCCATGGGAAAGGAGATCTGTTTAAAATATAGGTATACATAACACATTATCACTTCTAATAATTATTAATAGACACAATATTTGTTATATCTAATGTTATGTTTTATGCAATATACATAAACATAACTTGATACATATTATACATTTTATATATAACAATATATTAATAAAATGCGTAAGTAACTATATAACTTAATAACACATGTTTGTGCAGGTCAAACACTATTCTGCTCTATAACACATCTTTCAAAAATAAATCTTTAAGTCTCCCAAACACAAAAGGATGTGATCTGGGTGATTGGCTCTCTCCCTCATGGATGATCTGTGGTTCCTGCCCCTGTTCTGCCACTGCTTCAGAAGAGCTGGTGCAATTCAGTGCAAATCCTCCCCAGGGACTCTCCTTTAGAAAGGTGCTTATTTGAGCTCTAAAGCAGACTCTGAGGAAAAGACTGGGTGACAGAACCAAATGGAAACCACTTTTGAAATCCAACTGCTTCGCTTCTACTTATGAAGATGATGATGTAATTTATTATATACCTTACAGCTACAGTTACTGCAGATCAAAGACAGTTAGCTCACGTGGAACAGATCATTTCTCCTTCATGCATATTTTAGCTAAGTTGTTTGAACCCTGCAGTTCGTCTGAAGATTACCTGAGATAATACAAATTACCAGCCTAGATAATATGCGGTAGCCTCATTTGTCTCCACCAGCAGCAAGCAACAGAGCCCAGCACAGAGGGAGTAAGGTGAA